TAAATGTAATTTAATTAAAACTTATTCTCCATATTCATTTTTTAGGACTAGCCAGACTGAATGCAATTTACCTGCTCTATATATCATTAGATGGTTCTACACTGGATATAGCTTTACTATGTATCTGAACAGAGGGGCCTCTTCAGTCAATCAATCAATCAATCACAGTTTTTTAATCAAATGCACAACAATACAGCGTATAGGAGTAGTTGCTGGCCATGAAATGTCATTTCTACAAGCTTACTGGGGGGGGGGGGGATAAAAATCACAAAATTAAAGTTACAAAATAAGGTTACATAATAATAGATAATAGTGTAATAGAAATTGAGCAACCAAAGCAGCCGACCCCAGGACAGTCTGGGACTAAGGCTGTGAAAAAGAAGAAGAAGAGTGTAATAGAAATTGAATAAAATAAACTCAGACAAAACTCAATTTAAATAGAGCTGCTGAGTATTCAGGGTGTATGCAATATATTACGTCCAAGTTGTGCAGTATGCTGAATACAATGAAAACTATATGTCCATGTAGCCATTACGGGTGATTTGCTGAAGGAACTGCAGGTTGGCTATTTAACAGTCTTATTACCAATCTTATATCCTGGATGTTTGGAAGCTCACAGCCGGTAATGAGCTGCGCTGACTTCACCACCCTCTGTAGTACTTTGTGATCCCGGGTAGAGCAGCTCCCATACCAGGCAGTGATGCAACCAGTCAGGATACTCTCAATAGTGCACCTTTAGAAGCTGATCTGGGTATGTGACTGCATGCCGAACTTCCTTAGCCTGCGGAGAAAGAATAGGCACTGCTGTGCTGTTTTGACCAAAATGTTGGTGTGGTGGGTCCATGATGTTATCTCCCAGGAACTTCAAACTGCTGACCCTCTCCACTACAGTCCCATTGATATAAATAGGCATGTGATCTTCTTCCTGGTGTTTCCTATAATCCACAATCATCTCCTTAGTCTTACTGATGCTCAGAGAGAGGTTGTTTTTCTGGCACCATACAGCCAGGGTTTCAACCTCCTCCCTGTATGCAGACTCCTCACCATCTGTGATCAGGCTGATGACTGTTGTATTGCCCGCAAACTTAATGATTGAGTTTGAGTTATGCCTGGCTACACAATCATGGGTAAATAAGGAGTAGAAGACAAGGCTAAGTACACAGCCTTGGGGGGCTCCAGTGTTTAGAGTCAGGGTAGAGATATGTTGGTGCCCACCCTCACCACCTGCGGACATTCTGTCAAGAAGTTCAAGATCCAATTACAAAGGGAGGTGTTCAGTCCCAGGTCCTGGAGCCTGATGACAAGCTTTGAGGGCACTATAGAATTGAATGCTGAGCTGTAATCAACAAACAGCTCAAATAAACCTATTACTTGTTTCTTCTCACATATGTTCCTTTCTTATCCAGGTGTGAGAGGGCAGTATGGAGGGCAGTGGCAATAGCATCCTCTGTTGACCTGTTCTGGCAATATGCAAATTGCAATGGGTCTAGGGTGTCACGCAATAAGGAGGTGATGTATGCTTTGACCAACTGCTCAGAGCACTTCATGATAACTGATGTGACTCCAACAAGGCGGTAGTCATTCAGGCAGCTGACTCTGGGTTTCTTAGGTACAGAGACAATGATGGTTTTCTTAAATCAGGAAGGAACTAAGACTGAGCTAGAGAAAGATTTAATATGTCTGAAAAGACATCTGCCAGCTGGTCTGCACATGCCTTCAGAACACAGCCAGGGATAGCATCAGGGCCAGGAGCCTTGTGTGGATTGGTCTTTTTAAAAAACTTTACACACATCCGCTCTGGATATGATCAGTGGGTTTCCGTCTTGAGTTCTTGAATCCTCCTGGCTGGATCTACGTTACTGACCTCAAACTGAGCATATGAAGAATTTACTCATCAGGAAGAGAGGCAGACTGTTGTATGATATGGCAGGGTTGCGTTTTGTAGTCTGTAATGGTGCGTATACCACTCCACATGTTCCGTGTGTTGCAGCCATGATGATATGTCTCTAATTTAACTCTAAAGTTGTATTTAACTATTTTGATGGCTTTCCTGACATCGTATCTGGATTTTTTGTATCTATCCATATCGCCAGAATTTTAAGCAACTGTCCTAGCTTTAAGTTTGGCGTGTATCTCACCATTTACCCATGGTTTTTGATTTGGGTATGTGTAAACAGTAATCCTGGGAACCACGTCTTCAATGCATTTGTTGATGTAACCAGTAGCATAGTCCGTATACAGATTGATATTATTTCTGGCAGCTTTGCGGAAGACCTGCCATACATGCCAGTTTTTATACCAGGCTCCCCTTAAGACTGGGATATGTTTTAAGGGGGCGGTGCAGTGGCTCTGTGGCTAAGGATCTGTGCCTGTGGCTGGAAGGTTGCTGGTTCAAATCCCCTGTCTGACAGAGGGATCCTACTCTGTTAGGTCCCTGAGCAAGGCCCTTCAACCCAACTGCTCAAGGGGCACTGTATGAAATGGCTGACCCTGTGCTCTGACCTGAAGCTCCCTGTCTGTGTTTTTCATGGGGAGCAAGTTGGGTAAAAAGACAAATTCCTAAAACAAGAAATTATATATGGCCAATAAAGTGATCTTATCTTATATGTTTTTCACTTGGTTCCCTGGCATGGAAACTGGCTTAGCTCAACATTAGAGTTAACAAACAGAACGGAGTTTTTTAGTGGACGATTCTTAAAGGGAAATTATGGGTCATATACTTTATGTTTATAAGGGTTTGTGTTTGTTCTAAGAGTTTGATGACTGATAATATTTAGAGTTCAGTGTTGCTAGTGGTTATTGTGCTAAGCTGGCAGATGGATATGCATGTTACAGAGCCATGGTCCACAGGATGACAACCTTATACTGCGCTGCTTGAAGGTGCTGAGAATTGCCCCTTCCTGAAGGTATGGGTGTGGGAAGTACCTGATGTTGAAGGTGGGAAGACTGGTTTGTATTGGAAAACCACATTGGAAATCATCCTGTCCAGATCTGGAGATCTGGAGAGGATGCTGCATGACTGGAATTTCAATCCTGTTGTAGGTAGTGAAGGTGGAAGCCCTCAGGTCAGATCCTGCTTCAGATGGTTATAATAAGGAAAGGGAAGTTGCTTATTGACTAATCTTTTCCAACTGCTTTACCATCAGAACCACTGGCATGGTATCAAGAGATCAATAAGGCATGTCATGGTAGCTGAGTCTGATCACCTAAAGATGGCCTTTACTACAAATGGGCCTGTTTGAATGTAACAGAAAGCCTCAGCAACCTTCCAAAGACTAATGATAAGCTGCTTCGGGGAAGAGAATTTCTATAGCCTGCTGCTGTGAATGGATGACATCATCGCATCCCCAGATGTGCATCGATGTCAGTTGAGGGACATCTGGCACATCTGGGGATGGTTTTCTGCCATCAGCAAGAACATGGATTGAACCTTAATCACAAGAAGTGCAGCTTCCTGAAGACCCAACCTTGGCCATCTACAGTAGTATCAGAATAGGGGATTTTGACAGACCCTGAAAAGATACAACAATTACAAGCGTGACCGACTCCCATCAGCAAATAGGCGGCTGACATGAGGACCTTCCAAGAGGAGGAAGAAGAAACCAGGCTCCAAAAATTTACTTCCCTTCAAGTGGATAGAACAATATGAATGAGCCTTCAAGAAAACAGAAGGAGGAGATTAGAACAACCAAGGTACTGGGATATGTGGACTACAGTAAGCCCTTCATCCTCCACACTGATGCCTTATTTAGCCCAGGAATAAGGAAAAAGGGAAAGAGTGATTTCCATTGCTGTTTATTTCCAGTGGAGAAAAGGTACCCTGTCCATAAGCTTGTATTCCTTGTTTTGAAATGGGAAATGGAGACGTTCCCAGAGTATCTGTATGGCCATGTGTTCAGAGTCTTGTCAGTCTTGTCGCTCCATGATGAAAAGTTTGACCAGCAGAAGTTATGTCAGCTGGTTGCCAAGTGGTTGTGTTTCAGTCAGGGAGAGAAGAGTACTGAAGTGATTCCAGAAAAGTCTCTGCAGGAGCTGTGAAAACTCCAGTTGGAAAACCCGTCCTATTGAGAGTGATGCAGCACTGAGGGGGTAATCGGGCACCCAACAGTGTAGTCAGGAGTAGAGAGAACAATCAGGTGAGGCTCCTCTTTAAGTAATAGAATCAGCTATGCATCAAGGGAGATGTCCTGTTACAGCAGTCCCAACATGTAGAGGGAAAGGAGGTATTAAAGGATGGTCTTGCCCACTATTATGTAGGAGGAGATCTTGGGAGAGCTACACAACTTGAGACACCCAGGCATGGAGCAGACGAATGACAGAATCAATAATTCTGTTTATGATTAATGCTTTGATTTTATATGAAAGGTTATGAAGAATTTATAACTGGAATTTGCAGCCTTTAATCTAAAGTGGGATGGGGAAAACAGCATTGAAGGTATTAATTTAAGGCCTTTAGTTTCAAGTTAATGTCAATCAGAAATCTGAGTTTGACAGAAAAGAAATTCTATTAAGTGAAATGACATCCAGATGTCACTAATTTAATGAATTAGTAATAAACCACACTATAAAATATAAAACTACACAAAACTATCATATAATTATAAAATAAAAAGCCTTACTTGTTCAAATTAATAACATAAATCTTCTGTTACATTAATGTTTTAATATTTTTTGTCAGTTCTTAACTTCTGTTAATTAAAGAATTTTCTGATTTTTTATTTCAATTTCAAAAAAGGAGAAGAAAATCTGTTTCTCACACAAAATGTTGGAGAAATCACCTTATAACTGAACCTTATCATACTGTATAAACAACTTGTTCTTATTTTTCCATTTTGTAGGAAATACATTTTAGCCATCTCTGGTGTTGATAGATCCTGTCTCTGAAAGATGTGTCTGCAATTCAAAAATATAGCCGCCTACAGATTTCCTATATGCTGCTTAGACTGTGCTGCCACACATTTTCTGTGACCAGTTACATAGCTATGAGACAGGCTGTAGCGAGCAAGTGAGACCTTCACAAAATAAATGTATTTAAAAGGGGATTTCTATTTTTTTAATAAAAATATAGAACAATTAACATGCTTCTCTTTTGGTTTCTGTTCATGGTTATCTATCAAGGTAAGAGTACATTTATTTTAATTAAATTTTTAAACGTATTAAATTGGCTAAACAACAGTTTATATGAAGTGTATTTAATATTTTTATCTTTAGATACTTTACTTCAAGTACTACAAGCCATATACACTCAGTTTTATGTTCTTTTAAAGCAATATATTTGTTCATGCTTTTGTAGTATTTTTTATTTTTCATTTTAGAATAGCCTTAATGGTTTGCTTAGTTGTTATTTTCATTTTAACAAGATCTTATACAGTAATTGTGGATGATGAAACTGAAGTTATAAAGAAATAGATCAAGCATAAGCCAAAGAATTACAAAATTTAAAAAAATCAGATTAATGTAAGATAAGGTAAAATAATTATGTAAAATAATTGTAAATGTAAAATAATTATTTATTTAAATAATTATTTACATCCCATTTACATTAAGCCCCTGCTTCTTTATAATGCATGTATTGTATATGCACATAAATATCTCTAATGAAATACCAACACTTTAGTGTGGTGCTTCTGCGAAAGTGTTCATTTATCTAACCCATAAACAAAACTACCTATCACTGTGCCTATTTCCCTCTGAAATTTTGCGCACCCACCACTATAGATTAAGATTCCTGCAAATGCGATATACAGTAGAATATACAGAAAATGTAAACATAAATTTATCTGACAGTGTGTAAGCTTTAAGGTTTCAATCTTATAAAAAACTTGGAACAATAGAATTGGAATCACATTATACAGAAGATCCAGCTTTATTTTTGGATAATGTAATTAACAAATGACAGTCAGCTTTAAGAGCAAAAGTTCTGTTCTGGTTATTTATGTAATTTAAAATAAACACAGAAATGGAGCTAGCCCAATTACCTCTTAAATACACAAAGAAGAAAGGGAACAAAAGATCTTTCCTTAAATTATGATCACCTCTTATAGAGTATTTGCCAGTGGAGTTGACAGAATTGTTGTTGAAAGGTCAGTGTCTATTAAAGAGGAATCCCTTATGGGATGGTATGTGAATTTTGTTGAAAATTAATTAAAATAAAAGAAAACAAATCTTTAAGGAGAGAAAATGTAATGTAATTTTGCTGTGCACAAATCCAAAGGCAGGAAAGGAAGTATTTTATCCATTACTATATTTTTTTACATTTTCAAGTTTCATTATTAAATTCAAATGTCCCATGTATTATAGTATAAAAACTAAATGCTAAAAACTTCTCCTTGGTTTTTGAAAGCCTCTGAAGCTCCTTCACATTATATTTAAATAATTCATATACAGTAGAAATGCACTTTCCTATGTGTAACTCTATCTAGAGCCGCAGAAGTTATTTTCTCCAAAATTACATCTAATTATGTGATAACAAATAAAAACCAATGCTGCTACAATTACTTTTAGAAAAGCAAAGGATACATTGTCATCTTTGAAGGTCTAAAGTGACTCCCCATATCTCAGATGTTAAAATAACAAAGAAAATTCAAATTCATTTCCTGAAACAGAAAAACAAACCTGGGAATTGCAGAGTGGGCAAGATAAGAGGTTTACCTTTTATTCAAACTACGGTAAATTAAGATAAATGTTTGGTGAAATATGGGAACTGAAAAGGTTTACAAACACCAGTTTTCTACATTCCATTGTTCTCCTGTTTACTACAGTACATGCATCAGAGGATACTTGTGCTGTGTACTTTGCACACCTCCATCAAATCATTTCTTCTGTTGCTTAGTCCCTTTGATGTCACTGTTACAGATGTTCAAAGAATTACATAAACAGAAGTAAATACAATGAAATATTTGCTTGTGTGTTTGTTTGTAAAAAGTATTTCAGTAGGTTTTTATGCAAGGAATGTGAGGTAATGATTTACACATACACATGGCACTGTACAGTATAATCTGAATGATGCCTCTGTGACAAAATAATTATTTGATCTAGTCAAAACAAGTTGAGCAAAGAAATGCACATAGATTCCAATAAATATATTCATTTTCATGCTTTGTGTATTTTCAGCTGTATTTACACAGGATTTCTACAGACCCCTCCACATGAACGCTACAGCAGGCAGCACAGTCAATTTGACATGTCTAGCTCATGGCTCGACGTCCTGCGCTAGTGTTACATGGCTCAAGGTGGAATCTGACAGCAGTCTCATGGTTTCATCACTCTATTCAGATCGGAATACTGTCACTAGTAACAATGAGAAAGGCTGCATGCTGACAATAAAGCACTTACAGCACAGCGACTCTGGGGTTTATTACTGTGCTTATGATTCCAGACCTCTGAAGTTTAGCAATGGAACCAAACTCATTGTAAAAAGTAAGTGTGAAGCCTCATGTTTTAAATTCTTTTTAAAAAATGAATGTTCAGCCTCTCTTCCATTGCCAGACTGCAAGAAGTGGAAGCAAACTGATTGTGACTAGTAAGTGTGAACTGCATACAGTATCTTCAAGTTTTAAATCTTCTGTAACACAACATCTCACTTTGTTTCCCTCAACGCCAGTGACTATTTTTAAAAGAGGTAATAAATCATATCCTGACTATTGTAGGTCTGTATCCTTTTTGCCTTATCATTCTGAGATGATGGAAAGGATTTTTAACAAGCAGGTCAACTCACTTTAAGAGTATTACTATACATGTTATTTGACACACAATATAGTCAAATGTTTATTTCAGGAAACGATTACCAGTAGCCTTAGAGGAAATCAGTTATATATGTTTCTTAAGAAAAATATCAGCTGTGCAGCTCTCTTAATAGTTTTTTCTAAGATTTTTTATACTGAATATCACTCTATTTTGAAATGTTGCAGAGCATTGGTTTTGATGTACTGTAAACTCTTTCACAGGTTCCAGAGATCAAACGTTTTCCTCATTTATTTCTGTGATGCATTTATAATAGAATTTAAACAATTAGCTGTGCGTGGTTGCTAATATGTTCATCTCTTCTTTCCTCTGGTTTCTCCAGATTCCACTATCAGAGCACCTTCAATTGAGATCATCCCGCCCTCAGACGAGGCTGTTATCTCTGAAGGCTTGGCCACTCTGGTGTGCATGGTGTTTGGGATGGTTTCTGACTCAAACTCAGTTTACTGGGATGTTCCACTTAATCTGGAGAGCAGTGGATCCAGCAAGACCAAGACAGAGATATACTCCATTGGAGAGGATTTCTATTTAATCAGAAAAGAAATGACAGTCCCAGCAGAGTCCTGGTGGAGTGGAGAGCCTTTTACATGTACCGTGAAAATGGAAGACAAGGGAGTGTTTAGAAAAACAGTGACACAGACAGGTAAGAGAATTTTAAAGGGGACATTATTTCTGTGAGCTAAACCATACAATTTATTTTATGTACAGTACTTTAGAATGCTTTAGTGGTGAAAAACATTATGAAACAATAGTGAATGCACAATGGTGAAATACATTATAAAATATGATTTCTATGGATACTGAAATGTATGTTATGAATGTACTTGATTTGTGAGGAATACTCCATATAAGATATGAAGCTTTTGTATTAAAATGTAAGTGTCTTTTATTGTAATTTAAACTGTTACTTAAGAACCATTTCTAAAAGCAGTTTTCTATTTCAAATTGATTTACCATTTTGGTGCCTATTTTTAAATACATAATTGTATTCAGATGCAGATAATGTAAAGTGGATATATTGCTTCCTATAATTTGGACGTAAAGCTGAATGGAGTATTGAGTTAATACGTCAGCTCAAAACCTTGCCCCCTGCAATTTCAGTCATTAGATTTACTGTAAGTATACTGAACCGTTGCACTCCACAGAGGCAGCTTCTTGTAAACTGGAGAGCAGACAAGTTTCAGCTTTGAGAATACAACTGTATTCATAGAAGGAGCACCTGAATGAATATACTTTAGCTATGTCAAGGGCTACATCCAGCTATTTTTCTAATATTACTGAAAATGATCAAAATAATGCTAGATACCAGTTTTCCACTATTGATTAGTTGCAGATTTAACTGTCCTTTCACATGGCTTCCTCACCTCATTTATACAAAGTGTTATTTAACTTTTAACAATTTAGCTTGATAACATTTGGCATAATAATAATAATAATAATAATAATAATAATAATAATAATAATAATAATTGCTTATACTTATATAGTGCTTTTCTGGACACTCCACACAAAGCACTTTACAGGTAATGGGGACTCCCCTACACAACCACCAATGTGCAGCCCCACCTGGATGATGCGACGGTAGCCATAGTGCGCCAGAACGCTCACCACACACCAGCTATCAGTGGGGAGGAGAGCAGAGTAATGAAGCCAATTCATAGATGGGTATTAGGAGGCCATGATTGGTAAAGGCCAATGGGAAATTTGGCCAGGACGCCGGGGTTACACCCCTAATCTTTTCGAGAAACGCCCTGGGATTTTGAATGACCACAGAGAGTCAGGACCTCAGTTTTACGTCTCATCCGAAGGACATAACATTCCTCCCTCTTTTCTTACATATTTCTTTGTATGCTTGACTTTAGCACTCTTCTTTTTCGTTTTACACATCTCAATCCTTCATGCCTTAGTGAATTGGTTTCACCATGGATTTCATGATTCATTTTATAGGGATATCGCCTCCTGCTTCTTAGACCCAATTCCCTTTGTTTATTTTCCTCATATTTCTGTGTTCTTTGTCCCCATGGTGCTTGAAAGTCTATCCAAACAAAATGCAGGTAGCTTTTAAATCTACTGCTGCCACACCATGCCTACTGCCCTAATATGATAACTGTCCTATACCAATGTTGTTACAATACTGTAGATTAAAAGGCTTTGAATTTTAGCTGCTGTCTTTTGCTTAGAAGCAATAGGACATTTCAGAAGAAAAAAAATGTTTTTTTGTAAGTTCAATTGATTTGTGTTCTAAAACAAAGATAAACTAAATAAATGTTATCTATGGATAGTTTCATAATCAGTGTTTTAACACTGATATAAATAACACTGTTATAAAGTCAATACAAAGTCATCTGAAATATAAATTTCAAATGTTTTATATTTGTAATCAATCACATTGAAAAAACTCTTGCTTCCTTGAAATCAATATAATACCTCAAAACGTTAAAATTATCAAAATGTACAAAAGATGAACTCCAAAACAGTATTATTGAGACCTGGTAAATTTAGACCTATTATAAATGTGAAATTTTATGATTGAATGGTCAACCTTCAAATAGTCAAGGAGAAAACATACCAAGAGACTTAAGTATATAAATTGGACAATTTTGTCTGTTTTAGAGAATAGTCCCTTTGAGATTGTTAATATGTAAAATATTTCTTTTCAAATAATATTTTCATATACAGGACCAAGAAAGACGCCTTTTCTGTATGGACTTTTAACAGGTCTGTCTATGATTCTGTTGGCTGTGTTGGTGGTATTTTTGTACAGAGAAAAAACTAGAACAGGTAAATCCTATTACTTTAATAAAAGTATTGAATTATTTAATTTGTAATTAACTGTTCCACATCTCTATGTTATGATGATAACAAATTTGCAGTTTGCTATAGTACAATTGTAACTACTTATGGTTCTATTAAACTCTTCTTTATAGGTGTTGCTCTGTCAATAAAACAAAGCTGAATGCAACAACATCTACTGTACAATGGCAAAACTATAGCTTATTAAAAGCATCCATTTTGTCTTTCTTCTTAGGGCATCACAATTCCAAGCATATAAAGCGTATAAAGGAAGAAATGGTGGCTAAAGAGGTAATATTTTAAAGCACCCTCTTTCATTAATTGCTGTTTTTATTGCTTTGGTCTATTCATGTCAATCATAAATCTATTTCAGTTCCTACAGAGGTAGTCATCATGTTTTCAACAAATTAGTTAAAAATATAATTTTCTGCTCTGCTTTATTAGTCTAGTAAACTAGATGATATACAGTTTAGACCTAGCTATTCCAATATTTTTGTCTGCTGGGTAGAAGAATGCTTCTTTGTTTCCTATACCGGCTTTGTCCCTGACCTCCATACATCATATAGCGATACATCAATGACTGTGTCGGTGCCGCTATATGCTCTATTAATCAGCTAGAGCACTTCCTGCATCTCTTCACTAACTCTCTCCCATACCTCAAATATACATTTAACATATCTTCCAACACTCTTCTGTTTCTAGACATAAATTTATCTGTTAACCATCCATGACTTTCATCCTCGGTCTATTACAAACCCACAGATTCACACAGCTATCTCCTGTACAGCTCTTTTCATCCCACTCAGACCAAAAACTCTCTCCCTTTTTCACAGTTCCTCAGGCTAAGTCGACTCTGCAGTGATTACATGGATTTCCAGAACCAAGCACTCAGAATGTATTATTTTTTCATCAACAGAGGATACTCACCCATGTTATCAATAGGGCCCTCACCAGGGCCAAAAATAGCCCTCAGATCATCAACTCGACAAGGAACTCCTGGTCTCACAACTGCATTCCTTTGGTGCTTCCCTACCACTCTAACACGCTTTCTACCCCCAGAACCATTATTAACAACAACTCCATTTTACAGGGCAATCCCTCTATCAGTACCCTTTTTTCCAACCACCTAATCATCTCATACCACCCAATCTATGTAAACTTCTGGTTCATAGCTCCCTTGACCACACTTGGCAATCATACCCACCAGGCACCTTCCCCTGCAACAGAACTTACTGCATCACCTGCAAATACATATCTAACAAAACATTCATTCAGGGCCCCTCATGTCAATTCCTAATCACCCAGATGGCATCCTGTATCTCCAGCAACCTTATTTACTGTATCTCTTGCAAAAAATGCTCAGCTATCTACGTAGGGGAAACCGGAAGGAGACTAGGAGACCACTTCAGAGAACATGTTCGGGCTGTGAAGATTAAAGATTTCTCCAAGCTCATAGTTTCTCATTTCACCATCAGACAGCAATGATCACACTGATCTCTCTGTCTCTGTTCTCAAAGAAGGATTTCTCAACTCCCATAGCAGAAAAACAACAGAAATGAAACTCATCCTGAAACTAGGTTCACACCATCCCTGTTCTCTCAATGACTGACTTATTTTCATGTAATCTTCTCTATTCTCATGCAGGTTTTGACTTCACATCTTTCTTCACCCTTCTGCACTTTGCACTTCCTGAGTGGCCTCTCTGCCTCTCTGCCCCTCCTGCCTCCTCCTCTCTCCCAGCTTTTGTTCCTCTGTGCTATTCAATCTTTGCTCTCTGCCCTGTCTTTCTCACACCTAAAGAAGGCTTCACAGCTGAAATGTTGTGTTTTCTCACTTCTCTTTTTAGCATGGAATAAACCTATTACTTGTTCCTTTGCAAACTACGCATGCCGATGCAGCTACCCACCTGAACTAGATGATATACAGTACTTCAGAAATGTTTCTCCCCTTTAAATATTCTATCCACATAGCAAATTTTAGAATATGTATGGGACCATTAACATGGAAGGTAAAATATTTTTCTGATGAAAGGTTTAAAGTAGCAGTGGAATTTAAGAAGTATACTACTTGAATAATAATAATATGTAGGCTTTTGCTTCAGTGTAATTTTAAATAGCAACTGTTATCAATATTTACTGTTTTTTTTTCCACACCTGCTTGAACATGTTGAATTTAAACCTTTGTTCTTTAAAATGTCCCATTCATTTCAAATGTAGAATTGTGTAGAAGTCTGAGTTTTTTTAATTTCATTTTTAGGAAACGGGGGAAAATGAAATAATGTACAGCATGGTGAATTTCGACAAACACACCTATCAGAGGAATTTGTAAGACAGTAAAACAAAGCCGTTTATGCTTTTCCTTTACAAAGTGTTTCCTGTCTGTCTCCTTTGCAAGTGGACACAAAAAGACTAGGCTTTGATTGTTTCTAACCTCGAGTTACAACAGAAGCAACACGTCAGCGCAGCGAAAGCGTAGCACAAGCGACCATCCGTCCTATCCACACCAACACAGACAGTTGCGTTCCGTATTCAAACACTACAGGCATCAATAGAGGAACAGCAGCTCTCGTTTGTTTTCTGGTAAATGATATTTTGTGGTAAAATCGATTATCAGTTATGGGTAAGTGAAGGTACTGACGATGTTATTTTCGTTTTGAGTCTGTATTGATTGTTTAGAAGTTGAATTGGTTCATTAGCTTCCTAATTTCAGCTGTTGTGGATACACTGTATCAATGGACCACTCTGGGCCAGCATGATCATAATATTGTTGTAGATTGTGCTTATATACTGTAGTTCACAGGGTATAGAAAGTGTGAGTTTTGTGTGACTTGAATGGATCCCTATTGGGGTTTATGCTTCACTCATGTGCGCGGGTGGAAAAAACAAGATTCGGTGCATAAAGAAACGCTGGAGGACGAAGGGGAAGAATGTGAGACATGCATCTCACAGAGATGGATACGTTTTCTGTTCCTTCCATCGGACGCGAAACGGACGACTGAATAAACGCTTCAGAAACGCTTTCGGTTTGAATTGGCCTCAAGTGGGGTATCACTTTTGTGTTCCATTTTCTACAAGCTGAATGTTTCACTGTTCTCTAAGGGATCAAGAAGATGGGAAAGATCATGGAAGCTCCCCTTTAAATTTGACCAGAGGTAATGAGTACATTTCAAGGCCTGAAACTCCTTACTTATCTTATTGGTTAATTTCTCTGAATAACAAGAAATGTTAAATGTTAAACTCTCACATTGAAGTCTGAAAGGTCATTCTATAGCTACTGTAATTCACACATTAAGGAGCACTAGTAGTAAATAATAAAACCGCATTCATCAAATTATAAATCATAAATGAAAAACCTCCCAGGAGCCCAAAATAATTATTATTAAAAAATGTAATAGAATAGTATAGCAATAACATGGAGGTACTATTCACATTGTATAATATAAATGTCTTATATATTAGCAGGATTTCCTTAAAATGTATTCTAAACTTCACATACAATTTACAGAGCACAGGAGTTATAAGCTGATGCAAAGTACGTTTACTTTTATCTTTTAGCACACAGACCACAGAGGTATGGGTATACTCCAGTTCATCACTGAGCAGTGTAAAACAATAAGAATTTTTCCTGAAATGTGATCTTGTGACATATCTAACATGAGGTTTTAATGGTTTGGTTTGGTATGCTTTCTCCTATACTCTTCCCCACACCCTCTCTGAGACAGCACAGCACACCTGTCTGCTCATGTTATAGCTCTGGAGTACTTTCCCTGTGCTATCTCGATGCATTGCTCTTATCAGTGGGGAGAAGATACACCACTACCTTGCCAGGCGATGCCCTACTTCTCTACCTCCTTAATCCAAAAGTCAAGGATTGGTCGATTAAATGTAGACATAAAGTTTATTTTATTTTCCTGTTAAGTTTAAGTTTCCTGTTAAGTTTGATACCGTGGTATCACAGACTCATGAGACACATTTTCAAATAAATACTTGGACCTGACAGAGCGCAGACCTCTCTCATTGAGTTTGGACAGAGACCTTCAGTGTTGTCTCTGTGTTTCTTCCCATGTCCAGTTTCCTGTGTTCTCTGAGCACTGCTTTGTCCCTCAGCTGTGTTCCCAGATCACTCCTTGGCTTTGCTAACTGTTTGTTTTGGACCCTGGATTTGAACTCTGACTGAACCCTAAACCTATCTCCCTGATCCTCCTATGCTTTGTCAGCTTCTGTGTCTCCATCCAGTTACAACCCTCACTTCATTTGTATTTCCAATCTGGACTGTGTTTTGCCCGCACCACACTCTGGACTCCCTAGCTAGCCACAACTCCACTTCTGTCTGTGCGTGTGGCTACTTGGCTCACCAAGCAAGCTGCTCCCCAATCCATGAGTATGCATTCCCCACTCCCCTCACTTTCAGTAAAATTCCCTGTGCAGGCTCCTCAACTCAGTCATCTGTTCGTCCAGCAATTCAGTTCTCTCACACTGCTGAATGGCATTCAAAGTCCCACCTCAGTAGCACAACATTACTGGTATTAATAATTGTTAACCTATTAGTGCTTCCCTGTGCTAACTACAGTATACTACTGTATATAAACATGTTGAGTATGCTTTGTGAATGATACACATCCTGTTCTGTTTTAAATAAACCCCTTAAAATTAAAAAAAGCTTTTAAATTATTTTAGAAATGTAAAATTAATAAAATTAGGAAACAATTGCATTTTCTTACAAAATGATTTCACTAACATCACAATTCTTCATTGCTGTGTCAA